ATATATATATATATATATATATATATATATATATATATATTTGTGTGTATATACATATAAAGCTCTGGTTTATAAGTTCTAGAAAACCCAGTTACTAACTATACTTCAAGCCTACCAACAACACTATTATCTAAAAGGAGTGAATTAAGGAAGTTCCTGATGCCTTTTGTGAATAATTTTGGTTAAAACCCCCAGCCAAAGACAATTCAACAAAGAGCCAACAAACTATTTTCCACAAATACTGCAGAAAAATTTTGTTATTATTTTATGTTTATGAGTATTTGCCTACATACGTCTGTCTGGGCACCACTTGCCTGCCTGCTGCCTGAGGAAGCCAGAAGGCATCTGATCCCTTGGAACTGGAGTTACAGACATTTGTGAACTGTCATGTGGTGCTGACAAACAAATTCAGACCCTCTCCAAAAGTAGTCAAGGATCTTAACTGATCTGCCATCTGTCCAGCCCCAACAAAAAGGTTCACTATATAATGGAAGAGGACAATGCCCACAACTAGACATCTTATGCCACCAAGTAAAACCCCCAGGGCCAATAACAGGTTACATCTTCTTAACAGTTGGCCAAAGGAGTGCCACAAACCCATTCAAACATCACAGGCTATTGTCAAAGTTACTGGTTGCCCTGTACAATCTGACCATAAGGTCCTATTGCTGATACATTATGTCATCAAACATGCAGAAATTGGGCTGGTGCCCAACTAACGAGCTTCAACTCCTACCAACCAGCACACATGGTGCTGGAAGGTACTATGCACGCTACTAGAAGAGGAAAATAATCATCAGTATTACTCAGCTATGAAATCCTTGACCTACAACAGCAATCGGCCTGCAACATATGCTAGTGCAATAGTGGTACACATGTTATTGGAGTAACCAAACGTTTTTCTATTGGATTTAAGGCCCCCTCCATGAGATGGAACCCTATGACTGCTAAAGTGGCCAAGAACCTGAGACTAAATAAGTCATGGGCCCTAGTGGAAAACCTACTACTATGCTGCGGGCCGCAGGAATATATCATAAGAACTCAGCTGGTTATGGCAAAGTCACTACCTGGAGGAATCAGGGAATTCCTCCAGAGGAAGCCAAATCCCAAGGAGTTTTTGGTGTTACTTGGCTTGTTATATATCAGCTGTCTTCTGTTATGAAAATCATGTGTGCCTTCATAGTTTTCCCAATTGACTTTTCCCTAAGAAGGGCTAACAGTGTAGACTGATCACTCTCTGGACATACACATTCCAGGTATTTGGAGAACAGCCTCAGGAAAGGCTTTCTCTGGAATCAGATTATCTCCCTTGGCCACTTTCAAGGACTACAGGAAACACCACCCAGGTGGGCGCCCATTGTTAGTCCCAGGTGGACTAACAATGATAACAGCCCACATGCAAGTCTCCTGACTTACAGTAAATTCGACAAGGAGACACCACCTAGGAGAGGTGGACATTAAGTAATAGCTTTACACAATTTAGCTCGGACCCTCCCTATATATACTGAGACTTCCAGGGCATGGGAGGAGAAGAGAGAAGAGAATGGAAGAACTAGATGGGTAAGAACTTGAGAGCAACGAACTGAGATGGGGAAGAACTAGATTGAAGGGCTAGAAGAGAGGACAAGAGGAACGAGATGGAAGATGAGGAAGAGCCAGATGGGGAAGAACAAGATGAGGAAGAGCCAGATGAGAGAGAAGGAGACGGGAGCTGATAGGGGAAAGAACTAGATAGATGAGAACCTAGAAGGGCCAGAACTAAGATGAAGGAATTAAGATAGAACCTAGAGGGGATCGCAGACAAGTGTAGAGAGAAATCAGGCTAAAGATGACCTAAATATGAAAGCAGAATATAAGCTTGTAACTGTCACAGAATAATAAAGTATATGGACTAAGGAGTTTCGTGTACATAGATTCATTTCTTCCCATTAAAGATTAATTATCAGCTGGTTGTAGATTCTTCCCGGACCCTGGGAGGGGACTATCGAGGGGCTGGACCCCCCGAAGTCCTCGATACTACTATTACTCTGCTAAGTGAACACATTAGTAAAATGACTCCTAATGACATACTACTATACCCATAGATCAGTGCATCACTCAACTCTCAAGAGATGCTTCTTGTAGATGGGGATTAACAGAGACCCACAGCTGGACAATGTGTAGAGAATGAGATACTTTGTAGCATTCAGTCCTAAATGGGATGTCTTTATCAAACTCTTCCCCACTCAAGGATCTATGCTAAGAGGCGGCACAAAGATTGTAAGAGACAGAAATGGTAGATGACTCCAAGGAAACAGAATCACTTAGCCAAAACAGGGTTGATACTCATATGAACTCACACATAAGACCTACACAAGTTCAAACCATATAAAAATCCCAGAATAAAGAAGGGGAAGTAGACACAAAGTACCACCCCTAAATAAGAAGCTATTTGCAATTGATACCTGCTAAAAAGGGGAAAATCAATTTTCTCCAATGGAAAAACACTGTGTATTATATCAACTCCAGAGTAGGTCCCATGCCTAAGAGTAGTTGTTCAACAAAAAAACAGAGCCCTTGCTTTTTGTATGCATTTGTTTTAGTTTGGTAATTTCTGTCTTTTTTTGTTTGTTTATTTATCTATTTATTTTTGGAGAAAGAAAATGTAGTTGGGTAGGTAGAAAGGTAGGAAAGATTTTGGAGTTGAGGAAGGGAAAACAATAATATATATATTGCACAAAAATTTTAAAATTTAATAAGCTGGCATCACTACTTTTCACATACAATCCATTAGTTACACACCTTTCACATGCTTATTAATGGGGAAAGCTCACAGGCCTCAAACCTAGACAAAACTACAACTAAGGAATGCTGAGAGCAAGAAAAACAGTCTGGCCTAGAACTCATGATTTTCCCAGTACTGAGGGGGATAAGACAAGAGGATCATGAGTTTGAGGTCAGCCTAAGCTATATAACAAGACCTAGTATTAAAAAAAAAAAAAAAAAAAGAGGAGAGAGTACAGGGGATTCTGTGGCTATTATGTTGAACTGAATGGTGTTGTAAAATAATAAAAAAAAAAAAAAAAAAAAAAAAAAAAAGCCAGACAGTAGAAACAGGAATATCAGGAAAGAGCTCAGGGACAGCCTCTAATACCTAAGACCCTGTATCAAAAAAAAGTAGCCTAGTGTAGTGGCACACACCTTTAATCCAAACATTTAAGAGGCTGAGGCAAAAGAGATCTCTCAGTGAATCTGAGGCCAGTCTGGACTACTAAGCCAACCAAGGCTACATAGTGAGACCTTGTCCCATAAAACTCCAAACAAACTTCATCAACAAAAAACTGACCATGTCAGCCGGGCGGTGGTGGCGCACGCCTTTAATCCCAGCACTCAGGAGGCAGAGGCAGGCGGATCTCTGTGAGTTCAAGGCCAGCCTGGGCTACCAAGTGAGTCCCAGGAAAGGCGCAAAGCTACACAAAGAAACCCTGTCTCGAAAAAAAAAAAAAAAAAAAAAAAACTGACCATGTCAGTACATAGCTTTAATGCCAGCACTAGGCAGGCAGGGCAAAAAGATCTTTGTGAGTTCAAGGCCAGCCTGATCTACATAAAGAGCTCAGAGATACATACTGAGACTTTGTCTCAAAAAAAATTTTTTTTAGAAAAGAGAACATATATATAGTTTTCTGTATATCTGGTAAGGCTTAAAAATATACTCTTAAATTTGTATTCTTATACATCAATAGAACAAACCAAGTATTGTGATTTAAGATAGTCACCTTTACTTTGAAAAACAAATGGTATTTTATTCACCAACAAGATTTTTCTAGGGTCCTGAAATGCAGGCATTTCAACATGTAATAAGCCGGGCAGTGGTGGTACACGCCTTTGATCCCAGCACTCGGGAGGCAGAGGCAGGTGGATCTCTGTAAATTCAAGGCCAGCCTGGTCTACAGAGTGAGTTCCAGGACAGGCTCCAAAGCTACACAGAGAAACTCTGTCTCGAAGAAGAAAAAAAAAAACAAAAAAACAAAAAAAAAAAGATGTAGTAAGGTGATGCTGGAGAGATGGTTCACAGTTAAAAGTGCTTGCTTGCTTGATCCTGAGGACCCGAGTTTAGATCCCAGTACCCTCTTAACAAGCCAGGTGAGCATCCCATAACTCCAGCTCTTATCTGATCTGATCCCCTTTCCTTTGGCTTCCTGTATGCACACACTGGGAGACAGACACACATAAATACAATAAATCTGTCACATTAAAATGGATCCAAATACATACCTGAGTAAGCTCATAGGCTCTGTAAGCCAAAAGGGATGTAATTCTACTGGCATTTTTAGACACATGACATTCATGCTTTGGTGTAGGATCCAAAGCATTTTTACTTAACATAGGTTCCAAGCTTTTTACACTCAGAGGATCATAAACACTCTTTATTTTACCCTAAAATAAAGAAAATATTTTAAGTATCCGTTTAACATCATTTTTACTATACGCTATTATAATAAGGAAATACAAGTGCTATTAAACTATTTACCTACTTATATTATCAACACGTTACATTTTTCCCCCATTATTTTCTTCAGAAAACAGTTGTGTGTGTGTGTGTGTGTGTGTGTGTGTGTGTGTGTGTGTGTGTGAAAGAGAGAGAGAGAGAGGGAGGGAGGAAGGGAGGGAGGGAGGAAGGGAGGGAGGGAGAGGGAGTGTGAATGAGAGAGAGAGACCAGTGAGACAGTTCAGCAGGTAAAAAACACCAAGCCTGATGACCTGAGTTTGATTCTCAGGATCCACAAAGTTGAAGGAAGAACTAGCTCCCCCAACTCCCCAAGTCTTCCTCTCATCTTCACATGTATCCTGTGACATGTGCACCCACACCCACATACATTATATTAATAAATAAACATAAAAAAGATCGCAAATCAATTACTCTAAAGAGTCTAGAGTATCTTCATATACCACCAAATACAGACTTTTAATTCAAAAACTCCTAAAGTCATGAGAACACTTAAAATTGAATGTTAAATGTTATCTTTGATATATACAAATAAAAGTGAAAATTACCTTCATTATTTTAAAAATAACAACATCACCCACTGCCCCAGCTTCCAAAGGATTAGCCTGTAAGAGATCTGCATATCTACACAGGTATACACCTAACAGAAAAAGAAAAACAATTTAAACAATTAGGTTTGTTTTTTTAATCAAAATATTTAACCAATAATAAAAATGGAGGTGTGGCAACTTTTTAAAAGCAATACTAGAGACAGGAGAGATAGCTGATGCTTAAACCAGAGTAAAACATGAAATTAATCACGTTTTTCAAAATCATTTTGGCCAGAATAAACATTTTAAATAGTGATATTTGATCAATTAGAAGTATGCAAAATCAGAAACAAAGAAATAAAATCAGCATTACATTTCAGAACTTAATACTAGTCTCCTTGTTTGAAAATATAAGAAACATACAGATTTATTAGTGACTATAAGCAGATTACATTAAGAGTTTTAAATGGCAACTTCATAGTAGTTGAGTATAAATGAAAAACAAAAAAAAAAATTACCCATGGAAGGACTGCCCAGAATAGTTATTTTGGACTGGCCCACCTGCAATCCTTTTTCACATATGCTTTGAACCTAAGTAAACAAAACATTTCAGTTTGAAATCATAACAAGAAAAATTTATAAAATTTCAAAATGTAATCTTATAAACTATACCTTACAGAAATTTTACACACAAATGTCAGGTAATTATTATGTATTAATGTAAAACTTGTTTAAATTTCTTAGGTAATCCTATCAGAAACTTATCTTTATTTATGCTACTTGTGGCAGATACTGTCATAAACAAAAGAAAATTAAGACCAGAAAAATATTTTAAGATTTTTAATACTCTTATTCATGTGCAATATGTATTTGTGTGTGGCAGTACCCTCAAACACCAAAAGAGGGCAGTGGAAAAGAGGGCAAAAGAGGGCAATCTCTGGAGCTGGAGTTACAGGCACTTGTGAGCTGACTAATATGGGTGCTGGGAATGGAACTCAGGTCCTCTTGAAGAGCAGCAGCAAGTATTCTTAACCTCTGAACCACTTCTCCAGCCCCAAGCAAAATATCTAAAGAGAAAGTTAACCACTACTTTTAATTAAAGGGGAAAAAAATGGCTATAAGAATATAGTCCGCATTATATAAGACAATCTTGTTTTCATAAAAGAAAATGTTTAATCAAGCATGTTCTAAGAGAAGAAACAAAAACGATCAGAGAAACAATTACATTTGAAAAAGAAATTTCAAAACATATACTTTGCCCCACTGAATCATTTCTTCTACTTATATGTCAATAAAAACATTAGGTTACGGTGAATGCCTAGAACCACAGATGGCTGAAAGCAAAATACCCCCAAGTTCAAGAACAATCTTACCTCAAAAAACAAAACAAAACAAAAAAAACAACAAGGGCTGGAAAGACAACTGTTTAAGAGCTCATACTGGTCTTCTAGAGAACTCAAATTTAATTCTCAGTATACTTATATCAGGCATGAGTTACTCTGCCTGTAACTCTCACTCTAGGAAATCCAATATACACCTAAACTCATGTGCATACACATACACTTCATTAAAAATAAAGATAAACCATAAAGAATAAACAAGGATTAGGTAAGATGGCTTAGTAGGTAAAGGCACCTACCACCAAGACTGACAACCTGAATTCAACACTCTCTCTTTCTCCCTCTCTCTCAGAAAAAAATTGCTATATACTTACCAAACGTATTGTTGAATAATTGTGAAACTCATGACTTACAATGGAAACAGAATTATCTCACCTGGTATCGATCAACCATGAGAAATGCGTAAGATTCTGAAAGTTCCTTATCCAAACGACCATCAAACTTCAGTTCTCTTCTCTTTTCTGTAAACTAAAAGAAATTAATCTATAACTACTTAGCATGATTGTTTCATTAAGCTTAGCGTTGAAGAATTTTCCTAAGAAATCTCAAACCTATCAAAATAAAGATCTTTCTCTATGCTTTCTGCTATTCAATGTTCAATTTTATTTCTTCCCACTTTAATTCCCCATATACATATAAAACAGTCCAAAGTATCTAGTACTTAGCAATTTTAGCCAATTTTCTATTAAAAGTTTACTATGCCGCCAATCACCTCAAAGATTATAAACTGATGTTTTGTTATCTTTTTATCTCCCACTTAACATGGTATACTGAATAATGGGTGTTTTAATTTATTTAACCCAGGCATAGTGGCAAGTGGCATTTAACCTTGTAAAGCCAGCAGTCTGGAGGCTGAAGCAGTAAGATTCCTTTGGGTTCAAGGCCAGCCTCTGTTACAGAATGGGACCCAGTCTAACAGTATGTTCCATATTCGTCAAGTCACCTAAACTGCTGGATTTACTTTTAGATGCAAACAGATATCTATTTAAAGTACAGAACAGCAAGCATTTTGTATTTGTATTCAGGCTACCTCTTCAACCATGTACTATAATTTTAGATAACATTTCCATAAACAATTAACAAAAAATCCCTACTATACCATGAAATCACATCAAACTATCAAAAATTTTTATTTTCTCTAACAGTAACAGTGCCCTTCAGGAAGTGCCCTTCAAAGTTAAATTTCGTTAGCATATCATTAACTGTTATAAAACCAAACTTTGTAATATTTCATATCCATTAGAAAGCCATAAATATTAAACGTAAAATTCCATTTGTGTGTTACCTCAGAATTATACCTGCTGGCTTTTCCTATATTAAACTCAAAGAATATCTAATTTGTATATGAAGTTAGTTCATTGTCAACTGTTACCCTTTGTATATACTTAAATTTCACTAAAATTAACAATACAGCCGGAAATTTTAGAAAAAGAAAAAAAGGTTATTTTCTAACAAAACACATTAAATCTTATTTCATTATCTTTCAATATAGACATTTAATTACCATGTATAAAATAGGAAAAAAAAGTCCTTGTCAATTTACAATTAAGTACTCTTATAGTAAGCTATCCCTAAGTGAATGACTTAATTTCAGGATTCTGCATAGCTACACATTAGTAACAATTAAACACAGCAGATAAACATAGTGTAGCAATAAAAGAGATACAATTTAGGAGGGGGGATTTATCTGAGGGGTTGAGCACTTGCTTAGCATTGAGTCGGATCCAGGGGTTTAATCCCTAGCACTACAAAAAAATCATTTAAAAAATTAAAAAAGGATTTCTTCCCCATGCTAATTACATACCTCTTTTTCCAAAAGGTCATTATGTATCAAGCAAGCTCGTCTATAGTTAAAATTTGTTACTGAGGATGGCTCAAGGTAAGATGAATGGAGAATATTTAAAACATCTTCAAATTCTCTAGAACCTGGAGTTAATTGCTGGAAAAGTGCTAAAAAAACAAAAACAAAAAACGAATTGTAAGATCATAAATGTACATTTTTCTGGTTTTTTTTTTGTTTTTTTGTTTTTTTGAGACAGGATTTCTCTGTTTTTTTGTTTTTTTTTTAATATCTAACTTCAAATGAACAAAAGGCATCAAAAGCTACTTCATTTTATGATGTGCAAGACTGAAGATGACCAACTAGACAGCCCAGCAGGTGAAGGTGCTTCCTGCACAGCCCTGATAGCTGAATCCCAGAATCCTCATGACTCAAAGGTGTCCCCTACCCCTCACTTGCATACACATGTGCACATGTACTTTTTGCACACAAATACTTTTTTTAACTCACTCAAGAAAAATTAAGACTTTACCTAGACTAACTAGTTCCCTCAGCAATGAGAATCTGGCCTCACACACAAAAAAAGGTTGCAATTTTACAAACCTCAGGGATGCTACATTGACAATCTAAAACTGCTTAAACTCTTGTAATAACCTATACATGTACTCAACTTGTCTCAATTACTACTTACATTACACTCAAAAAGTATGTCTAAGACTATGATAGTTTAGCAAATATAAAGATTTACCATATATGAAAGCTTAAACCCAACTCATGTCTCTAATTCCTATACTTGAAAGGCAGAGAAAAGAGGATAATCAAAAGTTTAGAGGCAGCCTGATCTGTCTTAAAAAAAAAAAAAAAAAGGGCAAAATCCAATTTTAGCCAATGAACCCATAAAATAAAATGATTGTTTACATTTAGTAATAAAGTTAGAGTAATGTGCAGTACTCAAATAGCTTTATTATTGATATAAAATAGAACATTTTTAACTACCAAATGTTAAAATGAATGCAAGGCTTTGAGCCAAGCCAGCAGCATTGTCTTTTGTTTTGTTTTGTTTTGTTTTTTCTTTCCTTTTTAAGACAGGGTTTTCCTGTATAGCCCTGGCTGTTCTGGAACTCTGTAGACCAGGCTGGTCTTGAACTCAAGAGATCCTCCTGTCTCTGCCTCTGAGTGCTGGAATAAAAGGTGTGAACCACTTTATCCTAGCTATTTGATGGCTAAGTACAGAGCTAGTTCAAGGATGGCCTGGGCAACTTAGACTTGTCTTCAAAACAAAAAGTAAAAAGTAATAGAACATTTGCTTTGAATGTTTCAATACCAATACTGGAACAACAAAACAGTTCACAGAGTTTTAGAGCAAAAACTGAAATAGCAGATTTGTCATTTAATGGCTTTGTAGCAGATGATATATAACGTAATCAAACAGCCCAGTTCTCTCATTATAAAATAGGAAACTCCACTTCTAATAACCATTATATGCCAAGTACATTATGTAAGGCAGTACACAGAAAAAAGTACTAAGCAGAACAAAGCAGCTGGTGTAAAGTTAACACAATGACATTTGTATGCCTTGTGTTTTCACCATTCTACATTCCATTTGATTTTCTTCTTCCATCTCTGATACAAGTTCTTACCGGGCAGTCAAGGCTAACCTCAAATCCTTTTTTTAGTCTCTCGAGTGCTGGAAATACAAGCATGTCTCACCATATCTGACTGAAATTTGTATGCATGCATGAACGTGGTATGCTCATGCCAAGATGTACATGTAGAGATCATAGAACACCTTTCAGATCAATATTCTCCTTCCGTGGTTCCAGGAGTCAAACTCAAGCTTACACACATAGTGAACTGTGCTTTTTTTACCCTGAGACAACTCTCTGGCACTGGATTTTTAAAACATTAAATCATCTAACCTGTTTAATAACCAAGCATGGTGGCATACGCCCTTAATCACAACATTCAGGATAGACAGATCTCTTAGTTTGAGGTCAGTTTGTTCTACAGCTTAAGTTCCAGGACAGCTAGAGCTACATAATGAGGTCCCAACTCAAAACAAAAGAAGCCAACACACAACAATAATTTGGCCTTAATAACCTTAAATTTCTAATGTATACATGAAAGTTTTCATTTAATAAATTTCAAATATCAGATCTACACATATAAACTTTCCACTAATCAAAAAAGGCATACTTTTTTTTAAATGTAGACAGAACTATTCACAGAAACAATTATACTCACCATTTATCTGTATTTTTTTCAAGACATTATTTAAGGTCAACAAATATTAAGTAACTTTTGGGTTCCACTGAAAGCACTGATATATGTATATTTATATATTTCAACACAAGGACTCACCAAAAAAAAAAAATCCATAATAGTCTGAAATTCATTACGTAGCCTAGGCTGACCTCAGCTGTGCCATCTTCCAGCTTGAGTCCCCAGTACCGGGGTTATAAGCAGTTGCCGTCACTCTCAGCTTTATACGTACTCTTAGAAGTATGCCACTTTGCAGGGCTGGAGAGACAGCTCAGTGGTTAAGAGCATGTGCTCTTCAAGAGGACCTGAATTCAATTCTCAGCATCATGTCAGGTGCCTCAACCACCTGTAACTCCAGCTTCAGAGAATCCTACACCTTTGGCTTCCTTAAACACCTGCACCTATGTGTACATCCTCATGACACACACATACATACACCTAATTAAAAAGTAAATACTTAAAAAGTATGATACCTAAAAGCTAACTATAAATAAGCTGTTTTTACTGTACTTTCAATTTATTTTTATTGGACTATAAAAGATACAATGTCAAGTGGCATACCCATTCTTTAACTAGGCATACACAGTATTAGTCTAAAAATGACGAGTTACCGTGTGTGCCAGGTAAAAGCCAATGCATACCTACTTTAAAGATAACATACGCAAACATCCTGAAGAATAAATTCAACATGGTTACAATAATGCAATTGAAAAGAAAAAGTGGCTGGTAGGATGGCTTAGCTGGCTGTGCAAGCCTGATAAACTGAGTTTGGGTCCCTGGAAGCCACGGAAAATGCCAGGTGCTGGTTAAGTTACAAGGTAGGAGGCAGACAGAACTGTTCTCAGGAAGCTTATGGGCCAGCTACCCTGGAGTAGAAACCAAAGAAGGAAAAAAAAAAAAAAAAGGCTGACTATAAGTAAACTAAAAAGAAAAAAAAAGACATTCAAATAGAGTAAGATTACTAAGAGTATCCTATAATCAAATCTGTAGATGTATCCAATAATAAATAAAGTGTCAACTCCATGAGAACACAAACTACATCTGACTTGTTCACCTCATCTTTCCCATACACTAGTAAGTAGAAATATGAGCAGTCCCGAGTGTACTCAATGGTTAAAGTACACACAGGCAGTACTTTTTTTTTTCTTTTTTAAAGTTCATATAAAGAGTTTTTTCACTTTCAAAGTTTAAAATCACTATAAAAGCTGAAGCACGGATCACAAGGAGCTGCTTTCCCAATATGCACTAAGTGAATGAATATGCTACCCTAAAGCCATTATACTTGCACATGAAGATGACTTAGGACAGATAGTAACAGGCCCACACTGCCCACTTGTTATAGTTCCAATCCCAGCAAACACTTGATGGTGGGGTGTGTGTCTGCTTTTGAACAAAGAAATGATTTACTATTTAGACCTAGGTGCACACCATATGAATTTACTTCCATATCAGAATATCAATAAAATTTAGGCCCTGTCGCAACAAAACCAGGACAGAATTGCAGAAATCAGGGAGATTTGTCAGACAATCAGAACAAACACTGGCTGTGCTTCTATTCTCCCAGTAGCAACAAAAGTTTTATGTTGAATACAAGCTCCAACTACCAAAATGTTTGTTTTAAATTAAGATTTAGTGATAAAGTACTTCTCCTAGCATGCACAAAACCTGGGTTCAATCCCAATAAATTGCAATCAAAATAAAAAGTAAGAAGGCAGAGCAGGCTCTTGCTAGTGCAGCAGAGTAGAACACACCTATAATCTCAGCACTCAAAAGGCTGAAATTGAATTAATACAAATTCAAGGCCATCCTGGGCTATGTACAGAATACCAGGCCAGCCAGTGACATATACGGAAAGGAGACCCTATCTCAGAAGAAATTAACAAAAAGATCCATTCATACATACATAAATACTATCATAAAACAAAACCCAAGAATAGAAAATAGAAACAGATGTTTAAATTTGTTTTATAGGAGTGGTGGATAATTCTATTTTTGTTACCATTACCTCCTGTTAAACTAATTTTAAAGTTTACACAGAAATTACTTTCTGATAACACTACTTCCAACCAATCTAATCATGAACAAAAATTCATCAAACACTGGGCTGACAACACAGTCCAGTGGTTCAGAGTGCTTATCGCTCCTGCAAAGAACCTAAGTTTGATTCCCAGTAGCCATGTCAGGTAGCCTAAGGTCTGTAACTCCAGCTCCAGGGGAGTTGATGCTTCTGGTCTTCAAGGGCACCTGTTATCACCTGCACATACCACACCTCTCCAACACACATACGTATAAAAATAAATTAGACACACACAAATAAGTCAAACATAAAATTGCATAAATTAACTCTTTGTAAAGTACTAAACATTTCCAATTTAATCCAAAGCAATGTCCTGTACAGTCATGTCAAGAGTAACTAGAACATCTACTAATGGGGGAAAACAAATCATAAAAAATAGAATAATAGAAATAACTACTACTGCCGGGCGGTGGTGGCGCACGCCTGTAATCCCAGCACTCAGGAGACAGAGGCAGGTCGATCTCTGTGAATTTGAGGCCAGCCAGGTCTACAGAGCTAGTCCAGGACAGGCTCCAAAGCTACAGAGAAACCCTGTCTTGAAACCCCGCCCCTGCCCCCCCAAAAAAGAAGTAACTATTAACTATTACTTTAGGTCAAACAATAAATACCTGTGTCCTAAGCATTTCACATTTCAAATGGATTCACTAGTTAGGTCACAATTATTATTTCACTGATTTTTCTCCCAACAATCATTTGTATAAAATAAAATTACACTATCTACTTTTAAAGACTTTAAGGCCATGTGCTGGTAATGGCAGTTTAGAAATTTATTAAGTTCACCTTCTGTACATTCCCTGGTGGTCTGTTTTATATCTTAAAATATCTCACTAG